TATATATTGTGCTGCTGCTGCGGTTGCTGCTGCGGCAGCAGCAGAATAGGAGTGTCTCCTTACATACCGGGGAATTAAAACAGAAGGGGCTTCTATAAGGGTTTATTTACACCGTAGTGCTGCTTCTGCTGTGAAGCAGCAGCAGCAGCTGCTGCTGGTGCTGCAGCGGTGGGGTGTTGCAGCAGCAACAGCAACAGCAACAGCAGCAGCAACACTTGTGCTGCTGCAAAACATAGATTGAAGCTTCCATATAAAGGGTTCAGAGTTTAGCCTTACGGTTTAGTGTTTAGTGTTTAGGGTTTAGGGTTTAGGGTTTAGGGTTTAGGGTTTAGGGTTTAGTGGGTGAAGACGGTGTTTTCAAAGGGCTCCATTGGCGAGCGAAAGGCAGCAGCAGCAATATCTCTGTTTGCTGCTAGAAAGTGCTGCTGCAGCGAAGAGACAGCTGTCTGCTGCTGCTGCTGCTGCTGCTGCGCCAGGGGAGACAGAGAGATAATAGCTTTAGTTAGACGTTCAGCCTCATGATCGGGAAGAAAGGCAGCAGCAGGGAGTGTTGCTGCTGCTGCTGCTGCTGCTGCTGCTGCTGCTTGCTGCAGCAGTTGCTTAGTTGCTTCAGGATCAAGGGCGCTTCCCCGGGCGATTGCTGCAGCAAACTGCTGCGCTGCTGCTGCAGGTAGAAATGGTGCAATAGCTTTAATTGCTTCCGCTATCTCTGCTGGACGCGCTGCTGCTGCTGCTGCTGCTGGCGGTCCTGCTGTTGGTAGCGCTGCTAGGTTTGCTCGGCCACCTGCAGCAGCAGCAGCAGCAGCAGCAGCACCGTCAGTGTGAGCAGCTTCTGGAGTCTTCTCTGATCTAAGTGCATCGCCTGCTGGGGTTAACTGAGCAAAAGGAGACAAAAGAGACAGAGGGCCGCGAGACAGCTCGAAAGGAAGCAGCAGAGACAGTGGATTGCTGCTGCTGCTGCTGCTGCTGCTGCTGCTGTCGTTGCTGGTGTTTCTGTTGCTGCTGCTGCTGTCTCCCCGCAGACCCACAGGAACCAGAGACCCGCTTTGACTTAGCAGCTGCTGTGGCAGCTGTTGCAGTTGCTGCGGCAGATGCTGCAGTTGCTGCGGCAGCTGCTGCAGCTGCTGCAGTGGAGCGGAAAGGCTGGAGATAGACCCAGGTATTTGCTGCTGCACTTGCTGCAGCTGCTGCAGCGGCAGCAGTGCTATTGGCGGCAGCTGCTGCAGAGGGAGTTGCTGCTGCTGCCGCTGTACTTGCTCGAGCTGCTGCTGCTGCTGCTGCCGCTGTACTTGGTCTAGTTGCTGCTGCTGCAGCTGCTGCAGTAGCTGCTGCTGCTGCAGCTGCTGCAGCTGCTGCAGCTGCTGCAGCTGTTGCAACGGCAACCCGGTGGCGCTCTGCTGTAGCTGGTGCAGTAGATGTGGCTGCTGCTGCTGCTGTTGTTGTTGTTGCTGCTGCTGCTGCTGCTGCTGGAGCACCGACTGAAGCGGCCTACCGTTCAGTAGCTGAGGCAGCTGCGGCAGAGGTGGAGCGGGGAGAGCAGCAGCTGCTGCTGCAGCAGAAACTACAGCAGCAAATAAAGCAGCTAACACAGGAGTCATTTAGGGTTTAGGGTTTAGGGTTTAGGGTTTAGGGTTTAGATGATACACTTGAAACAATAAAGCAGTCCTTGTTAAGAAAAGGGCTTAGGAGAAAGCGCCATATTCTCTGGGTAGAAGCAGCAGCAGCAGCAGCTGCTGCTGCTGCTGCTGCTGCTGCTTGCTGCTGCTGCTGCTGCTGCTGTTCTTGCTGCTGACCGTCGCCTATCCTAGCGGGCCGCCTATCTCTAAGTTTTAGGGGTGTTTAGTGTTTAGTGTTTAGGGTTTAGGGTTTAGGGTTTAGGGTTTAGTGAAGGCGAATAAAGAGAAGCACGAAAAATACTCAAACCACAAACCCCCCAGTGGCTGCCGCTCGCTCCCTCTTAAGGGTTTAGGGTTTAGGGTTTAGGGTTTAGGGTTTAGGGTTTGGATGATACACTTGAAACTCATCAGAAGAGTGCAGATTAGAAAATGTTTTTGGCTTTAAAACCTTTAGCAGCGGTGAACAGCAGCAACTGCTGCTGCTGCTGCTGTTGCTGTTGCTGTTGCTGTTGCTGCTGTGTACATACACCGGAAGGCAGCGAAGAGTTTGTAAATTGTTGTTTACTTGTTTTTATTATTTACATTTAATAAAATTATATTAATTAATTAATTAATTAATTAATTAATTAATTTATTTTTTGCTGCAGTTTGCTGGGGTTTGAAGCATTTGCGTTTGTTTTTTGTTTTTGTTTGTTTTATCTCTCTAGATAAATAAAATATATTAATTTAATACTTTTATGTTGTGCTGTATGCATGAAGTTAATTAAAAAGAAGGACATAAACTCTCTTTACAAACAAAGACAGCAGCAAGTGCAGCAAAGATCAGCAAATAAAGATATTGAGAGACTAAAGAAGAGCCTGCTGCTGCAGCAATCTGTGGGGCCCCACACTGCAGCAATTCGATAATAGCAGCAAAATATTTCTTTTGATTCTTCTTGCTGCTGATCCTCCTAGTTCTTCTGCAACAGCAGCAGCAGCAGCAGCAGCAACAGCAGCAGCAGCAACAGCAGCAGCAGCAGCAGCAGCAAAAAGCAGAAAAATAAGGGGTAAATGCAGCAAATTGAAACTCTTTTTTAAAAACAATAAAGTCAGAGCCGGTTTCTTCATGCAAACACTAAACCCTAAACCCTAAACCCTAAACCCTAAACCCTGAGGTGACCCCGCAGGCGACAGCCGTGTGGGGTGTCTACGGCGCTAAACCCTAAACCCTAAACCCTAAACCCTAAACCCTAAATCTGTATAAAAAGAAATAATATTTTGTAAGGGTTTTGCATTGAAGTTAAAATAATAGCCTTTAACTTCCTCCGTCTCTGATTTCTCACCACAGCTTGATGCCTAAACTCTAAACCCTAAACCCTAAACCCTAAACCCTAAATCCCAAACCCTAAACCCTAAACACTAAACCCTAAACCCTAAACCGCCGGTTGTATTTGAAATATATTTTTTGTTTATTTTTTGATGGAAAAGAAAAGAAAGAAAGAAAAGAAGAGCCGCAGTAGAGGGAGATAGACAGCAGCAGCAGCAACAAGGTGACCAGCAGCAGCAGCAGCAGCAGCAGCAGCAGCAGCAGCAAGCTGAGCGGCGTTTCTCCCCCGCAATAGGTTAGGCTACGGCTAGTGTGGGGTTCGGCTACTGCTGCTGCTGCTGCAGCAGAACTTCAGGTTTGCTTTTTTTTTTGCTTCTGTTTGCTTCTCTATCTCAAGTAGAGATAGGTAGATATATTACAGGTACAGCAGCAGCAGCAGCAGCAGCAGCAAACAGCAACAGGTCTTTCTTCTTCCTTTCTTTTCCTTCACTCCGGACACCACCGGGACCACCACCTCCAGCAGCAGCAGCAGCAACAGCAGCAGCAGCAGCAGCAGGAAGATGTTGTTGTCACGCCTATCTCTCGGCTTGGGGCTGCTTATTGCATTACCTGCTGCACCGCATGCAGCAGCAATTGATTTTTTAGAGTCGCTTGCAGATATAACTCTTGGGGCAGAGTTAATGGATGAGGTAGGTGAGTCCTTTGCTGCAGCAGCAGCAGAGTTTCCTTCACCTTTAGCCTTGAAAGATGCATTCTTAGCGCTGCTAGGAGTAGATCTATTAGAGAAGCTGCAGCTATTTGCGCAGCAGCAGGTCCCTCAGGAAGCGCAGCAGCAGCAGCAGCTGCTGCCACCGTTCGAGCAGCTGCAGCTGCTGCAGAAGCTCGGACTGCTGCAGCAGCAAGATGATATAATTAATGCCTTCTTCCTGTCTCCTTTCGGTGTCTCCTTGCAAGAATTCGCAACCCTTCCAAGTGTAGCGACAGCTCTTTTAGAGCCCGCTACCGTAACTCGCAGCAGCAGCAGCAGCAGCAGCAACAGCAGCAGCAGCAGCAACAGAAGCAGCACCCCCAGCCTGAGAGGCGTTCTAAGTGCTGCTGAGTTGGAGGCTTTAGCTGAAGCTGTTGCTGAGGGTGTTGCTAACAGCACTTCGTACGGCATGAGGACATTAAACCCTCTTGCTGCTGCTGCTGCTGCTGCTGCTGCTGCAGCAAAGAAGAGCGGTATCGACACCTCTACTCCTGCAGCAGCAGCAGCTGCAGTGGCGCAGCTTGTTGACCCTCTTAACCTGCTGCAGCTTCAGCAGCAACTTAATGCACATCAGCAGCAAAAGTCTCTGTCTAAGCAGGAAGGAGAGACAGAAGAACAGCAGCAGCAGCGGGAGGACGGGCCTGCATCTGCTGCGGAAGGTGATGCCTCTTCATCTCAGCAGCAGCAGCAGGAGCAGCAGCAGCAGGAGGAGGAGCAGCAGCAAACCTCACCTCGTGTTTCTTCTTCATCAACTTCTACAGCAGCAGGACCAGCAGGAGAAGATGCCGAATCTGCAGCAGCAGCAGCAGCAGCAGCAGATTCTGCTGCTTCTCCTCAAAGGTTTAGCCGCACAATGCCTCTAGGACCCCTTCAAGGTGCAGCAGATCAGCTATATTTTATTCATTGGGCATTGAATAACCCTCTAGCTTTATTAGAGTTTAAGTCTGTGGTGTATAGGCAGTGCTTAGCTATTTTTAAAGACGAAGAATTCTGTGCAGCTAGAGTAGGCGTAGACGATGCTACTGTCTCTACTGGCGGTGTTAATAATCCCTGGAGACCCAGCACTTCTCTCTAAATAAATATAAATAAATATAAATATAAATAAATATAAATATATATAAATATATATATATATATATATATATGCGTGGGGTGTCTATGCTGTCTCTACTGAAGGCGTTAATAATACCTGGAGACCCAGCACTTCTCTCTAAAATATAAATAAATATAAATCTAGATATATATAATATATATAATATAACATAT